GGTGGACTGGCATCCTTTGTAGGGGTTCCTAAGTATTGTGCATTTTGGCAGCTGAACATATCTGTTACTCATGCTCAAAATGAGAGGCACTGTGTTATATTTTTGGAAAATTAGTTGTTTATTTCTTAGTATCAGATCAATTGCAGCATTAAATTAACAGTGAATCATCTGACAGAAGTAAGTCTACCTTGGTAGCTGGGGCTGAGTTGCAAAAACACATGTGAATATTGGCCTGAATGTTTAATTTTTTCTTTAAGTAAACCAACTATTAAAATGTTGCCTTATGTTAAAAACTGAGCTTCTTTTGAATAAATGTAGTACACCTAACAAGTGAATGCCATTTGATAATTATCTTAGAAGTAAGGAAAACATTTTTAAAAATTAGGTTAAAAATATTGTTCCAATAAATTCAATGGCTCTTTTTGATACCTATGTAAAATCATTTTGAAATGTATTCTTCCCAGACAATAGTTAAAAAAAAAGTAATTTCAAGTGGTGAAGCCCTAGGAGAAAGTTGTTTTAAAATAATCCTAACCTTTAAACATTTATAAATAACTGTTTCTTAAAAATAGCAACAGCAGGTCGGGCTGGTTTAAAATTCTAGAGAATTTGATTTTCTGAGATAGAAATCTTAATGTATAGATATCCATATCCTTACCATTTTATAAAGTCTTGGACCAGCTAATCTTAATTTCTTGTTAAAGAACATAAAGTAAATTTACTGTCTGAATAAATTTGCGATGGCTTAAACATTCAGATTTTTTACTGGGGTTTTGGATTGAAGTAAAATAATTATCATCTTTCTAGAAATACTCCTACTGACTTCCTAGAAAACCTTATCCATTACTGGAGACTTTATTTCCAACAATCTCATTCCCAAAAGTCCTAAGCCCTGAAGTTCTTCCCAATGGCCTGGCATCCTGGGAATTCACTTGATCTTCTGGGCAGAGACATTTCAAACTCGGGGAACACATGATGGGAATTTAGTTTCATGTGTCCCAAAGATATGTAATTCTCTTTGGAGGTTTTACTTGATAATAGCTATGCCCCAGAAAACCATCTTGTTTAACCAATGTGATAAGTTGACAATGTAGTTTTTCTCTCTGATTATAATGTACTCTGTGTAGTCAATACACTAGTACCATGTGAGTGTAATTTCCTCTTTTATTTTATCTCCAATGCACTGTATTATAAATAAACAGTTAAAAAAAACACCAAACAAATCTGTTGCATCTCCTTTTAAGATTGTACCACTGTAGACACTTGTTCTAGTAAAGTAGAATTGGGCGCATTTGATTGCATTTAAATTTTTCATGCTTCAGCAGTTTGGCTGGGAGCACAGTAAAGAAAAATCCCATGAGCGAGGATAGTTTAGAATAATAGAACTTGATTTTGTGTATTATAGCGGCAACATTTGCGCTGCTTTAGTTAGGGTTGTGTCAGCACTTCCATTATAAACCCCTGTTTTCAGGGGGTATAACTAGGGAGATTTTTTTTAATACAAATTAAAAAAAACAATTCATTTGAATGATTTTTAAGTTATAATAGTGCAAAAATAAAACAAAGTAAAGTCACATAGAAATTGACCATTTTCACAAGGATTTTGATTCTTTTGCTTACTAGTTTTATATGACAGCTTAGCTAAAGTAAGATACAGTTCTAATACGTGGGGGGTGAAAATTTTTGTAATGAAAAATTACTAAATGATCATTAAAAATAAAACTGAGCATCCCAGGTGACATTTTAAAACATTAACACCAAGTACATATTTGATTTATGAATTTCTAAAGGAGAGTAGCCATGGTGCAGTGGTTATAGTGAAGGCATTACCAAAAGTCAAGTATCTTTGCAGCTTCCAGAATAGTTTAGTTGGTCTAGTAAAATGTTTTAAAAAGGGAAAGCTAAAGTAAAGAAATGAATGAGGATGTAATCAGTAAGTTGAAGGATTCTTTAATAAAGTAATTGTGTAAAAAGTAATCAGTAAATTGAATCTAATAATCAGGAAATTTAAGACTTACTTAATAAACTTTGCTTTAAAAAGTATGTGTACACATTTTCCTTTTAAAAATACAACAAAACTACCAAACTACAACAATTAAAAACCAACCTGAAAGAAGCCAACAATTTTATCAAAAGGAAATGCCTGCAGGGGAACAATACCTCAAAATCACCTTTTTCTCTGCTAGCAACGTGTTGAGAACTGTGGTAGAGTAAACTCAAGGAATTAAATAAAATATGATACAGTAAAGTATGCTTCTTGGAACAAAAATGTTATTTCCTTAGGTAAAGGGAAGGATTTTGAAGTTGAGTATGCCTTCCTTGGTTGTTAACCGTTATTGCCCTAACATTCCCCCTCTCCTTGTCCCCAAACGATGGTGTGAACTGAGGATGAACAGTCAAATTTAATATTGCTTTTTTTTTTTGGCAGCCTATCTTTTATTTGCAACCTTGATAGACATTTGTATTTGTAGGTGCAAAATAAAAGACAAATTGTGTGATGTTGTAAATAGGTAGCTTTCCTGAATGGTCACTGGAGGAATCACCAGAAGACTGTTGATGAAGTAGAGGTGAAGCCTTTCCTCACTAATTGTATTCAGCGTGTAATTTCTAAACTTCCCTCTGAATTTTGATTTTCAATTAACACTCCCCATTTGAAGATAATTTTCTATTTAATGTAATTGCAGGAAATAATTTATTGGCTGATTAAGACTGAGGGCCCAGCCTTTCTTAAGAAAACATTCTAACAAACCAGCCTTTAAACTCAACCCAGCTTTGGACAGATTTAGTCTATTTTTACAGCTGCATGGTTGTGTTTAATTAGGATTGTGCACTATTGTTCATTGGTGCAGTTTATACTTGAAATTATTCTTAAGAGACTTTTCATTTTGGGTTTTGTGTCATGATTAATTTATACTAAAGCAACAATCACAGATATTGCTATTGGAAGGAGCCAAGTCACTTTATAATAGAGGATGTTTGTTGGGGAGCTAAAGTCACTCTGAGTTTTGGCTTATGACTTTCAATTGTATTTAACTGTTTTAAAAGGCAGCAGTAAATTCACTCTTTTGTTTTTAATGTGAATGATTACATTATTGGTACTGTCATTATCTGAACTATGAAAACACTCTTGTTGTTTATGGTAAACTCTGGATAAATTTGCAGACCAGTTATAATTTGTCTGGCTTTACTGTAGTATTTGCAGTGATCCCTGTACAATGATAAACATCCTTTGGTATCACTTTCCATATGTGTATATGCATTTTTCCACATGCTAGTTTTGATAGAAATTAGACAAGAATATACTTATCTGATTCTTTGATATAGTACTCTTTAGAACATTTATTTCTTTCTTCTCAAAGAAAATATAGACATTCTTCTGTACTTCCTTTCCCCCATTTTATTTTCTAGTATCAAGTCTAACAGATGAAATTTTATTATTTGTAGAATGATTATTATAAGTAGGTATCAGCATTTTAATATGTTTCAAAGCACTTCAAAAGCCTGTAATACTTTTATTTAGAACTGTGCATAATTAGATTAGCTGATCTTATATTAATTTTTTTCACTGTAGGATACTAAATCTGAGCCCCCTCATTAATTGTGAGAAATTTAGCATTAGCTGTTAAATCCTATGTGAAACATGGGCTGCTACATAAAAACTACTGTTTAAATTGGAATTAACTTAATTATTTTTCTTTGCACTTGATATTTCCTTCACTGCAATATTCATGAAAGCATGTGACAGATTTGTAAATTTAACTGTTAATCTCAGATTTCTAGACCCTTTAATCAGTATTTATTTGTCTGTAGAAACAGTACTAGCAAGTTAATGATTTGCTAATTTGAAAAATGCTCATGTGGTTTCCTATGTTAACTGATTTGTGCATTTTTTAAAAAATGGTATGAAATCAATTAATGTTAAAGAGCAATTAAGGTGGAGATTTTATTCCTTCATTACACAGCAATTTTAGAGCTAAAGATGCTATAAACTGAAAACAACAAAGTTTTAGAAAAAATACTCAACTGTCTTTTAAGTTATAAACTTCTGGTGTTTTTATTTCTAAGCATTTTGTTAAGAAAATCATCTTGACAAAGCACAGAATGGAGACTTGTGCAAAATGCAGTCGATGTTTACTTGTGGGTACATAGATGAGTGTTTGGTAATTGTTTTTGCAGTTTTAAAAATATGGTGTATAGTAGGCATTTTACTATTTTCACAGTAAATGCTTTGAATTTTGTATGGTACTTTCTAATATAAAATAGAGGCATAGTTATTTCATATATTTAATTCAAATGATACAAAATTGCCCTAAGACTAATCTAACATTATCAGCCACTTGATCAATATGTCACTTAAAAGTTAAGTTACAGTAGTTGACACATTTTGAAAATCTTTAAAAAAAGATCAGATTGACACTAAACAATGTTAGGCCCTGGCACTCATAATACAAGGTATAAACTAAGAAGTCAAGACCAAATTTGGTTAGGACTTTCAACATGTATGTGTACTCTCCTGGTTGTATTTTCTCACATAGATTTCTTTTGTTCCCACATAAAGCATAAGAGAAATTTGGATATTTCTACTTTAAAATCATCCTCCAAACTGGCTTATTTGTCAGTTCATTCACTTATTTATTTACTTTTTCCCCGTTGTTAGCCATCAACCTAATTTGATAATCTAGCTGGAAGAACTGGGAGGAAAAATATACACATACGTATACTATATGTTATGAAAACTTATTCCTCGAAAATGTCATTTGTGGATTGTTAAGGAGGAAGATGTGTAACAATTACTAGGAAGAGGTTTGCTGAGTTGAAAACAGAGAGGGGGAGTAGAACAGATAAGCTAAGTTCTTTTTCAAAGTGGTTTAGAGCAGCTCATAAACAACCTGAAGTTAGAGAACATATTTTTTTTTTCTGAATTAGTCAAATGTAAGGGATTGTTTCTTCTTCTGTCATTGACAGCCTTTTTGAATCCATGTTCTTTCCTTCTTCTGCAGAAGAATGTCTTCCAAGCAAGCCACCTCTCCATTTGCCTGTGCAGCTGATGGAGAGGAAGCGATGACCCAAGATTTGATCTCAAGGGAAAAGGAAGAGGGCGGTGATCAACATGTGGCCTCCCATCTGCCTCTGCACCCCATAATGCACAACAAACCTCACTCTGAGGAGCTACCAACACTTGTCAATACCATTCAACAAGATGCTGACTGGGACAGCGTTCTGTCGTCGCAGCAAAGAATGGTGAGCTTTTAAAATCTGGCCGCTGTTGCTAAGTGTGTCTGTTAGTGTGGCCTCATCACAAATAGGTGTTTTAGAAAAAGCTCAAAATACATATCTTAAAGTTATTTGTGTTTAGGTCGTGAAACAAGCACCATGTATATATTATTAATATTATTAATACACTAGTACCTGGGAAAAATTGGAAAACGGTTTGTGATTTAATTTTTGTCCATTTGTCCATTAGAATGTTGCAGATAGATATTTAATTTAACTCGGGGAGAGGTTTGGTTATCTTATTCTCTGAATCTCTTAATAAGGTGGTGAACTTGATAATGACACAAAATAAGTATGATCAAATAAAGTGTGGCTGTGTATTAACATTGAAATATATATTAAGCAAACATGTCTATGTGAATGAGGTCATATGGTGAATACATCTTCAGTGGGGAAATGCAGGTATTTATCATTTTTAATGGTCATTTTTGATTTATAATAAAGCTTTTCTCACTTATGTGCCTATATATTAATTTCAAAAGGACGTGCAAAGCTCCTGAGTATCATTCAATCAGACTGCAGGAGTTTTCCCTGAAGGTAGAGACATCAGATACATGCAGTGTCTTAGGCAGCTTTCCCGTGCAAAATTCTGTCTCTAACCATCAAAACAGAAGCCACAGTAAGTGGCATTGTCAATTTAAAGCAAAAATATCCAATTGTTTCACATCTAGAACTGACCTTAACGTATTTTATTAGATTAGGAATTGACAACCTGTTATACGTTTCTTAACTTTTGGTTATGTTAATGAAAAGACATTTTAAGTGGGCTGTGAGGAAAAGTTTTATTCTTTAATAAAAATAAGGTCATATTTAAAAACGCCTTTACTACTGATAGCAGGTATTTAAATTCTTGCTCTGTGCTTAATGTTTAATGTCAAAGACTTGATTCTATAAATTATGGAAGCAGACATTTTTCTTTTTCAGCTGATTTTGCAGACACAACTAGCACTCTGCAGCAGTAGGTGACAAGTAGGGGAAAGGAAGAAAAATAAGACTTTTCTAGACTAACTTTAGGTTCATGGGGCATTGTCATTATACAGTTAGATCCATTGGAAGATGTATTTTCCTTGCATGGAGGGGAGAGGAAAGTATAAAAAGGCAAGACTAAAAGTCTGTTTTTCTGATTGAACTGAATCATTTTTGGACCTCCAAGGTAGCAAGGTTGAAATAGACACCCGGTCATTGCCACTGGCTTTTTGAGAAGATAGTAGGCCCATGTTTTATTTTTATCTCATCAAATGTTTATAGAGCACTGTCTCTGGGGTCAGTATGCTACTAGGTGCTGGCTGTATTGTGGTGAAAAAACATGCAAGATTACGTTTTCCTGGAACATATCTAGGAGGGGAGACAGAAATTAAATAAATACACATACATAAATATATAATTGAAATTGTGATATGTGTTAAGAAGAAAAAGAACAGAATGCTACGTGAGAAATAATGGGATAAACCTAATTTAGAATGGATAGGAATGCCTTCTCTGACCTCAGGATGATAGGAACAAGCCAGGCAAAGAATAGAAGGAAGAGAAAAAGTAGCAGAGGGAATGGCATGTATGAAATATTTGAGGTGAGAAAAATATAGCCAAGTATCAGGAAATGAAAGATAGTCTTTGGGGTGCCAGTTCATTAAGCATCTGACTCTTGGTTTCAGCTCAGGTCATGATCTTGGGGCCCTGAGATGGAGACCCGCATCAGGTTTCAGGCTCAGTGGGGAGCCTGCTTGGGATTCTCTCTCTTCCTCTCCCTCTGCCCCTCCCCTTGCTCTCTCTGAAATAAATAAATGTTAAAAATAAAAATAGTTTTTGTGGCTGGAGTGTAATGAGTGAGGATGCAGTGTAGCATCAGATCTGGTTGGAGAGACAGGTAGGGGCTGTATCCAACAAGACCATATAGATAACGTTATGGAAATGAGGTTTGATTCTAAGTGTAATGAAAAACCATTGAAGGGTTTTAGAATGTTGCAGATAGATCACTCTGGCTATAGTATGAATAGATGGGGGGGAGACAAGAGTGAAAGGAGCAAGATCTGTTGGGAGCCTACTTCAGAAATCCAGGTAAGGGGCACCTGTTGGCTTAGTCAGTTGGGTATCCAACTCTTGGTTTTGGCTCAGGTCAGGATCTCATGGGTTGTGGGATCGATTTCCCTGTCAGGCTCCATGCTCAGCAGGGGGTCTGCTTGAGATTCTCCCTCTCCCTCTGCCCCTCCCCACCCTGCTCATACATGCTCTCTCTCTCTTTCTCACACACTCTCTCAAATAAATAAATAAATCTTTAAAAAAATAAAAAAGAAGTCTGAGTAAGAGACGGTTGTGGTTTGGGTTAATGTAGAGGTAGATGGGATAGAGAGAAGGGATGGGTTCAAGATCTGTTTTGCCACTTATGGCAAATATAGTCATGGACAAATAAAAATAATGAAGCCGAAAATATAGGTTGAGGCATAAATAATACCCTTCAAATTTTACTTCTTTAGAGAACATGTTACTTATTTTCCTTAGTAAAATTTGTTTGTATTTTGGCAAGTGCCAATTTGCTTCAGTGAGTCATTCTCAAAGGTTTATGTTCTAAAATTTTGTCAGAAAATAGATATTAATAATTTGCTTACCAAACTTACATTAAGAGGGATTTATGGAAGTATAAAATAGTTTAAATTTACAAATATGTTATATATTAGTATAAAAGAAATCATATTTGCTAGAAATGTTTTCAAACTTTCACTCTCTTTTGATATCAAGCACTGCTTTCCACTGGAGCCTTTGTGTATTTTGAATGTCTGGAAGCCAAAATATTTTGTTTTAACTCCCACTCTATAGTATTTCCCAGCTGTGTACTTATATGGTATAATAAAAGGATTTAACAAATGGGAAATAGCAGCTGCATTTGGAAATTCCCTTTGTGCTCCTTTTTCATTCGATAGATTCAATAATGTGTAACAACTGTAGCATCAGACCTGTAATGACTTACACTGCAAGTATCATATCACCAGCCAATTTTTCTTTACAGGGAAGAAAAACAATAGAAGGATTTTAGGTTTCTGGGCAGTCCTGCAAACCTACATATAGAGTGTATATGTGTGTGTGTGCATACGTGTGTGTGTGTATGTGTGTGTCTGTTGGGGGTAGACTTTGACTAAAGTAAAATTTAATAAACATCTTACCTCATTCTACTTTCAAATAAATGACATCCAAAAGTATTGTTATGAAGTTAAGTGAAACTTGGTATTTCTCTTCAATGGATCATACTCATTACCCATTGTAATTGAACCTCATAAAATAGCTGTGGAGAAATAAAATGTAAAAGTAAAAAACAAGAACAAAAATTCTACCAGCAACTGTTCAGTTTCCACTGTTATTTACTTTTTGTAATGGCCTTCACTCATGGACAGTTAGAAACAGGCACCAAAAGTTTCTTATCTACTGGGTTCAGGAAGGTTTTACTTTGAAATATCAAGACCACAGAAGAGCTTTACTGTAAGAGACGGTAAAGACAAAGCAGAGAAGTTCTGCTAATTCGCACTTCCTGATTAGAAAAAAAATCTTGAAATGTTGAAATTCTGATTATTTTGATGTGGTGTTCCAACAAAATATGAGACCACGCAGTTTCAAACAAAGAAAATAATTCATTATGGCATAAAGCAAAGGAGAACAGAAATTTTAGAGACTGGCATTCAAAGACCAATTTGAGATTAAGAAGTTTAGATTCTGATTTTAATTATAATTTCTTATGTTATAGATGCCAAAATGTTTGATTTCAAGTTTAGTGTGCGGTATTAATTGATAAATTCCATTTGAAGGCTCAAAAGTTAGTGTAAATAAAAATTCACCATCCTTGTTCATTACATACAACCGCTACTATTTTCATTATGGTATGAGTGTACCAGTGTACCAGTGTACCAGTCCTTTTTTTTTTTCTCCAGAGGAATATTGACACTGTCTCCTGAAATGTGTTTTTGTTCTCATTAGGACTGATTCATTAGATAGGAATAAATTCACATATTTTTTTCACGGAAAAAATGTGTGGTGTATCATTCTTTTCAATGTTAACAAGGATGAAGGAACATTTTGTGGTTATATTTAGTGACTGGCAGTATGACACTGTGTGTAATGATTATCTGCTGAACATTACTTGAGTCTATAGTGCCTACGATGTTCTAGATACAGGAACTTTCTTATGCATAAGACAGTAAGGGAGCCCTGCTATCATAGCACTTAGATTCTAGTAGTATGACAGACAATAAAGAAGTTTCACAGAGTGAGCCAGTTTCAGACAATGATAAGTGGAATAAAGAAAATTAAATAAAATGTGATCAAGAACGACTAAACAGTCTGGAAGTCCTCTTTGAAGGGGTGACTTTTGAGTTGAGGTTTGAATGAGAAGGAACCAACTACATGAAAACTGGGGGGAAGACACCCAGCTAGAGTTTATAGTAAGGGCAACAGCCTTTTTGGTAGGTGTATTTGAATAACAGAAAACAACAGAGTGGCTAGAATGGAGTGGGTGAGGGAGAGAATGGTATGAGATGAAATCAAGGAGGCAGGCAGGTGACAGAGACTTTGGGGTATCATGGGCTACAGTGAGATGTTTGGACTTGACTTCGAGTGCAAGAGGAAGCCATTGGACGATTTTAAACAAGGGACTAACATGATTTGATTATGTTTTTTGGTTGCTGTGCAGCAAAGGGGTTGTGGGAGATAACAGGAGAAACAAGGACACCTAGTAGGAAAACTATGGTAGTAGTACCGGTGAGAATTTGATGCTATGGGGGGAAGAGTGAACAGTTAGTGAGGTTATTCTTTGAGTTCCTATAGAGTCTGAAGAAGGCAAGATTCACACAGAAGGTGAGGAGAATATTTTAAGCCATGTGGGCATGAATTTCGTCGTGTGGGCAGAAATTTAGTCAAGAATGAACAGGAAATGAAATTGCTAAGACCAAGGGAGGGGTGGAGGGAGTAGATTTGCTCCTGGACAG